TGCAAATATTTATTAGCTTGTTTGGATGAGCTTTGGGTCTAAAAAGTAAGCATTTTTTAAAAGATTGTTTTTTTAAGAATAAAATGAGAACATTTTTTCCCCTATGTTCTTATGGTCAATCTTCTGGTACAACCTGAATTTCTTTTCAATACCAAAAACAGTGTTTATTTTGCCATAGAAAAGTTTTATCCAAACAGGCAGTATCTTTGGTTATTTATATTTGCCTTGTTCTGTTACTTAGCCGGGCTCTGTTGTGTAGCAGATATTAACCCAGAAATAAATCCAGAAAAGAGGATTAGAAGATATCGTTGTGAAGAAAAGCCCACCGATTTTAGTTACCATAAGTGGGCTCATTTGGGGGTTCCCATGCTTATCTCAGCAGGAGATGACACAAAACTTTTTGCATACCCAGTGAAAGAATTCACCAAGTTTCCTCCTCATGATATCTGTCCTGCACCCCAGAGAACACCCATTCAACTGGTGCCCAATTCTGTCTTTAACAAATCCAAAATGCTTTTAGTCCAATCATCTAAACACATAGACGTTCATTTGCTACCACTTAAAAATGTTTGCACCCCAGGGGGCCTTACAAAGACGGAAATAGTTGCTCGAGTCAAGAGTAAGGGATCTCGGAAGATAATTTGCAGCAGCATTTCTAATTCAGGGGCGCTATTTGCATACTCTGATCATAAAAGGCCTAGTCTATTGGAATTGAAAAGGTCTGAAGTTGGAAAAATCACATGGGATGTTGATAGAAGGGAGCTTCCTCAGAGATTACCATTTGCCCATTCCATGGTTTTTACTCATGACTCTTCCAAGTTGATAGTAGCAGGTTGCGACAGAAGGATATATGTAAGCTAGTGACATGCTTGATTTCTATTAAAGTTAATTTGTGTTTTATGTAAAGTATGTAGAGGGTTTTTGCTCGTAAGAATCTATAAACTTATCCTAAATATGGTTATTTACTCCTTATTTTGTGATAATCATTACTCTCTTGCTATTTTGACCCTTGCTTCATTTGAACATGGTAATTTTTTGTACCTAAACCTGAAGACTGTTTAAACGGAATTTATTTTGTGTGTTAGGGATGTCCTGCTAAAAAAGCTACAGTACTTCTCTTATTTTTTGTGATTTATTGAACAGTATCCATGCGACCTGCAAATGCATGAGCTTTAATTCAAAGTGTTATTTTTTTTTCTTTTTATTGGTTTCTATAATTAACTTTCAAGTTTTTCTATTGATTGATTTGATTGTGAGTAGTTTCCAAATTGTTTGTTAAAAATATTCTGGTCTTGTGTGTAAAAATCTGTTTGTTGATACTCATTGCTTTTGAACAGTGTCCTCCCCACCTGCAAATGCATGAACACTGATTCTAGTTATTGTTTGCTATAACCTATGCTTAATCTAAATCGGTTTGTATGATTAGCTCTTTAAGTTTATCTATTTATTGAGTTCCTTGTCAGTGGTTTTCAAATTGTTTTGTTAAAATATTATGATCTTAGGGTATAAAAATCTCTTTCTTTTGTTGATACTCATAGGTGTTAAATGCTACAGGTTGTGGATATTGCGAGGTCAGAATTAGTGCATACTTTTACACCCTGTCGTGAACCTCAAGATGAGGAATTACCTCCAACTCAGCCACCAATAACTAAATTGTTTACTAGTTCTGATGGGCAGTGGTTGGCAGCTGTGAACTGTTTTGGGGATATATACGTATTTAACCTGGAGATACAAAGGTGTGGTTTCTAATCTGCTTAACCTTTTCTTTTTTGCTCTAGACACCTATTACTTTAACTGCTGCTTCTTTGCAGATAGCTAGGTCACCTTGTTATTGATTAACAAAATTCAAAATAAAATAAACATTTGGGGGGACACACAATATAGTTGATGGACAATCTGTGAAAAGTTTTGATTGGATGTTTGTTGTAGTTCTAAAGTATAATGTCTTCTAATTAGGTGCAAAATTAATTTAACTTGTAAAATTCCCTTGTTATTCTTCCCCACTTTTTCTTTGGCATGCTCTTTTTACAGGGTGGCATGATTTCATGAATTATTTATTATTGATATTTGTTGTATTTTATTAAACAAACCTGCTTTTGTGCTACAGTCAGCACTGGTTCATTTCAAGATTGGATGGCGCCTCTGTTACAGCTGGTGGATTTCCACCCCAGAATGACAACGTTCTGATACTTACAACTTCCTCAAATCAAGTGTATGCACTTGACGTAGAGGCCAAGCAGTTGGGAGAATGGTCAAAACGACACACTTTTGCTCTTCCTAGGAGATACCAGGAATTTCCTGGTGAAGTTATTGGGCTTTCATTCCCTCCAGCAGAAGCTTCACTTTCTCCAACGGCAATATCATCTTCGGTTGTTGTTTACAGCTCCAGGTATACCTTTTTCTTTACTTCTCTAATACGAAGTCCACATCTTACATACATGAAATGATCAAAAATTAAATATTAGAAGTTCATGTTTTGTGAAAAAACAAGTTTTTGATGTCGAAATAGTAGCCTATTAATTTATTACTTGTAACCTCTTAATTTATGTTTTTGTGTTCATTTAAGTTTTTTTCTTGTAGGGTCCATATATATGTATGTATGTATGTGTACATGTTTTTTGAGAATTTTGTAAGTACCTACATTTGCTTCTACGTTTGTTTCCCGTTTTTCCTGGTATCTTCAACAATCACATTGTAATATGATATACACGTTTTTTGGTTTTAGACACGTGATACGTGGAATGTTAACCCTTCAATCAGTTGGCTTCAGGATTATGATATATTAACCATTCCTGTCTCAATAGGAACTACGAAAATATTATGTTTTTCTTTTATTTATTTATTTATTTATTTATTTTTGAACTATTTTCTTATGTTTGAAAACTGTTCCATGTTCAGGGCAATGTGCTTGATTGACTTTGGGCTGCCCGTGGAGCAAGATGAAAGTGATATGCTTAACACTCAAGATTCAAGGACTGGGAATTTACATTATTTTAATGTTAAGAAGGGGACTAAACAGAAGAGGAAATTTGAAGGTTTATCAATAGAGAAGAAGCCTGTTAGGAGGAACTTTCAAGTTTTACCATTAGAGCATCCCGTTTTATTTTTAGCCCATACTTCAAAAAATTCTTTATTTATAGTAGACAAACCCTGGTTGCAAGTGGTCAAGAGTTTAGAAGCCGCACCAGTCCACAGACATATATTTGGGACATGAGCATTTAGCAACCAAGAGAATTGTTCTCAGCTTGAGGGGATACGTGATGGGGATAAAAGTCCCTTGTTTTTCATTTTTGTCTCATCATGGTTGGGATCTAGAGTCGTGTATTGTGTTTACCTTAATCAATTTTGTCCCATTAGTAATAGCTCCTATTTATATTTTTTTTATTTACACAAGCTCTGTACTTTTACTCTTAATCAATTCCCAGATTATTTGTTACTGCTTGATGTATTAGAATCTTGACTCTGCTAATACACATAATTAAGATGTAATTAAAATTTCGTATAAAAATGACTTCTGTATAAAAAAAAGCCATAAATAGGTATTGTTGTTTGGTTCGTTATCAATTTCATAACAAGTTGTACTTTTTTTCTTATAATTTGACAGTTCTTGTTCTTATTTTCGTTGATTTTCTGGTACTATAGAAGTTGGGAAAAGATTATTACGCAACATATTGATTACCATGGCTTGAACGGATGGAGTAAGTAAATGCATTGTATGACTGGAGAAACATTGATTGGAAGGAGACAACTTGTATCTAAGCACAGCTTTCGCAAGAATAGTTGCTGCAAGCGCCAAACATCTGATAAAGTTAATACATGTAAATAAAATAAAAATATGATGCGAATGCATGTAAACAAAATTAGAAAATAAAAAGTTTATTTTTTAGTAGTTTTTCTCGCATGAAGAAACTTTTGTAAGAATTGGGTTTGGGAGAATCTGGCATCAATATTTAATTTTTTATATTTCGCATTTTCTGATTCGGTCTATAATTTGGAAAGCAACTTGAGCCTTCCATTCTAAATCTTGTGTCTTCCATGGTAGGCATTGAACGTGTGCTAACACTGTAATTTCCAATTACAAACATCAATTGAATAGTATACAATAAAGTGAGAATGAGAAGTGAAATCGTGTGTTTGTCCGTTTCCAAATATCTGAGTTATTTTCCAATAGATCCATGCAGGTGGTTGGAGTCTGAGGATATAAAAAACTACGAATAAAAGATTTTGTTGGATATCCTACCAAAACAAATATTCAATAATTGCACCGAGTGTTATGAATGGATGACATTTCAAGTGGGGTAGTTTTCACAAGGTGGTGGGGCTGCTCCGAAAATGAAGCTTGGCTTTTGTTTTCATTTGGATACATTGTCCATTTTGGGTGTGAAGCTAACTTAGCTTGCCACATTCACCCACCCAAAGTGGTTGTGAGCTAGGCTGGCAGTGGCTGAACTTAATCAAGTGGGTCACTACTCATTACTAGGCCTTTGGATTTGATATATGCTTCATGGTGGTGAGTGGTGAAGTGACTTTTCCTTTTTCTCTGGCTCTCTTGCTAGCTGTGTTGAGTGGTGAATTAGTTAATTCAGTTTTGTGTTTATTATTACTGGAGAGAAAGGATGAACAGTGTATACCATAAGAGGAAGAGTTTGTGAATAGTATCAAAAGAAGAAGACCTGGGAGGTCCCAGAGATGCCTGCCACTAATGACAACAAAAGAAAATGGAGGACAGAAACCTTATTCAGTTTCCTATATTCTCTTAGGTTGCTCCCAATAGCATAGGCAGTAGCGTAGGAGCAGATTAAAAAAAAAGGTAAAATTACAACATAAGAGCTTTTCTTTTTTAATATTTTGAAAAAAAAAAGAAAAGAAAAGAAAAGAGAAGGAGCTCCTTTTGCCACACATTGAGTAGCTTCTCTCCTTTGACATCCATTCTTCTGGTCTCTCTTTCCACAGCAATGCAGCAACAACAACAACAGTGACAAGGGCTACAGTAAAATAACTCATTTCCCTTCTTCGTCAAAGCCACCTGATCAGAAGATACAACAAAACACTCGTAACACATTATATGCGATTCTTTTCTGAGTAACAAAATAGAATGTTCAAGGCAAATGGAACTTCACCTTGTTCCTCTGAGGCAAGTTTTCCAGCAAGAGACCTCTCTAAGAAACTAAAGTGCTTCTGGAATTTTGTCTTTCTCTGCATCGATCCACAAAGTTAGCTCAATACAATGAAAATTGTGCATGCGAATGGCAAATAGTTTTCCTTATAACATAGTGGAAAGATTTGATAAAACAATTAGCAATAGAACATGGGTTCTACCTTTATTCTTGTTGCAGATACACATTGAGAAAAATCCAATGCCCTCTCCACTGCTCCATTCCCTGGGAAACTGTCTTGTTTCTGTTCAACAACAAAAGAACCAACCCATTAGAATTTTTTCTTTGGCTGCTAAGGAGAAATAGGTACACGCATATTATGTCAGTGACATTAACCTTGTGACTCTCCATGGGGCAGTTGAAAAAAGGAGAGCTGGCAGTGTCATCAAGATGTGAAGACTGTTGACTTCTGCCATATTCTTTGACCTTCTTCTTTTGGGATTCTTTGGTTGTAGAGGAAAGACAAGGATACCAATTCTGACAATAGTATTCATTATCATAATGTGGAGGTCCGGAAGAAGCATCAGAGACCATGGATAAATCTTCCTCAGACTCCTCGATTCTTGCTCCCTTTCCTTCAAACTCCACCACCCCATCTCTCCTCCGGAAGTAATTTTCAGAAAGAGAGGATTGGTCCAAATAATGGGTCCAACCGGATTCACTAGCACTACTGTATTGTGAAGCAGAAGATATATGATAATCCATTCAACCCTTCTTTCTTCTAGTATAACTAGGCACCAAGGTTGGTGTTCTTTTATAGATGTTCAATATGAATGATATGAAATATGATCAAGTGAAAGATCATATAGTGGTAGATGACCTAGAGGTAGCTACTTAGCTCTATCTCCTTATGTCTCTTACCCCTTGTGCTTCTTATGTAGTTCTCCTTCTCAACATAAGTAAGAAAAGGAGTAAAAGGAGAATTGAAAAAAAAAAAAATCATTAAACTAAGACAGAGGGAGAAAGAGAGAGGAATTACACAATTCTATACTGGTTCTGTCCTTTTGCACAATCCTTTCGCCTTCTTATTTTATCTTTATGCGAATGAATCAATATTGCCAGTTGGCCTTGTGAACGTGTGTGTACGAGAGTGTCTGGTAGTGAAAGAGTGAGAGAATGTGATAAGGGGAGGGATTATGATTTATGGCAGCATTGCTTTGCATTACAATGCTCCCATCAAAAGATAGTGCTTTCCTTTCAGGACAAAAGTTAATCTTAATTTGGCCAAGTCACAACTAATGATACTTTAATGATTAACTTTTTGTTTCTATTAATGGTTGCGAGGCTTGCAAGTTGACTCCACAATAAATGCATTCTGCTCCCTCTCCTAAGGATTTGCTTATTTTCTTCCACACCCTCAAACATTGTGTGTGCTTTGCAACAACCAACAGACTATAGTTTTGCACTTCATTTATTTTTCATATTTTCAACATTTTGCTCAGTGGACATGTCACAGATCAATATTTACCGCTCAAGTGAAGTTCAACAGTTTTGAACAGTCATGTGAGGGAGGGTTACTTGGTTTCTTTCCCCTTTTTCCAGCTGAAATTGGGGAGCTCAGAAAGTACCTAGAACATGACATGCCTTACTATAAAGTTATAGAGGTTTAAATTTCAGAAGGTTTTTTGCTTCTAATTGCCATAGTGGAACTATCTCAAGTGATTGTTTAGTTCAGTTTGGTTATTCATTTTGACATAAATTACTATCTTGAGTAGTTGTTTCTTCTCTCGTACTAGAAGTTCTATAAATGTAAATCTCCATATAGAGCTAGACCGACCCACGTTTCATTGAAAGAAACCACTAATGAGCACCTGATTTGAATGTGACACTGATAACAAGCATCTTTGCTTACAATAAATATGGCAGATTACTTCAGTTTTGTGTTCTCTTAATGCTTATTTTCTCTACATAGTCACAAGAGCCTTTTTACCTTGCCATGTCTTCTATGGCGTTTTCCATTATTTCTCTTGGTAAATAAATATGGTGTGGAGACAGGGTGCCAATAACATGTTAGAATTTGTCAATAAAAACTCACTCAGCATCAGCAGTGTATAGGTCTGAACCTATGTAAACAGTTCTATTCTACCTACCCACAACTATACTTACTTTTAACCCTTAGGCTCAATAGATCTTTCTGGAAAACCTTGTTTACTGAACAAGATTTAAGTGTCATTAGGTTATTTAAATCCACATTTTGTATCAACAGATCAGGGAGACATTGCGTTATTGTAAGTATGTGTTTCCGCACAAACATAGCCAAAGTTTTAGTCCAAGGCATCAAGAGACCTTCTGCACAGTAAACAAGATTTTAGTGCCAAGAAGAGATTCAAACCCACATGAATTAATTACAAAAATAAAAATAAAAAAAGTGAAAGTTATCTTGTAACCCCGTTTGAATTCATCCACAAAATATTACCCATGTGGTATCACATTCAGGAGTCAAATTTAATGCAGAAAGTGAACCACTCAAGCCTTGAGAGGACAGTGTACAAAAGATAGTGATGAGGATGCAAGGGAGTGAATCGAGTACAGTTCAGATTCAGAAATGGCACACAGGTACAATTTGCTCCAAGTGACAAAAAACTCACCTCGTCCAAATGGTAGAAAATCCATATAGTACTTACGACACACCTAGGCCCCACTGAGGTTTGCTCTACCTGTGATTTGAGTGGGGAAAATATTGTCACATTTGGGTAACATTAGCCATGGAATCTGATATGTATGCAGCTTATTATATGTACTATGCAATACAAGCGTTGAAACCATTCAAACCATTCAACAGTAAAAACAAAGAAACAAAACAATTTGTTGGAATCAATCAATAAACCTTGCTTTCCTAGATTGGTTTCATGCCCATTTACTATATAGAATTAATGGATCAAAGGGAATTAGTGACTGACCCTACCACATTTCAATAAGGCAGTGAAGCTCTCTGTATCTTTTTTATTTTTTGTTGTGTGGATTGACAATGAAATGTGACTTTATGTAAAGATCATAGGGCCACTACATGATTCTGGTCTGACTCCAATTGGTCCCTCCCTTTTAATACAATGTGTCCCTTTGTAGCTTTCTAATGCATTCTCCTCTGTTAAGCACTGGGCTTATCCATCTCAATCATGAATCTACCTCTCCAACGTTCCACTCTAATCCATCTTAAATAAACAAACAAAAACACTGTTATTATGTGAACGCAATCATCATGGAATTTAGGAGTTCATCTAATGAGAACCAACAACCACAACATCATCATGCTCTAAATCTAAATGCTCTTGTCATGCCCACAATTCATTTTATTTTCTCATTCTCATCCACCACAAATTTATCACGTTGGTTTTCTTAATAACTACTCACTTTTCTGTTTTTATTGGTGTTTGAATTTTTTTCACCAAGTTCAGAAAGAAAAAAAAAAGGACAAGATCTTCACGACAACCATGTTCAATAAATGTATTATTAGTATTTTAAGATGATATTATTCACTAGAAATAAATTTCGAACTATTTTTTTCTTATTTCATTCAAAACTGAAAATATCAAATAAATACAGTATTTGTTTTTAGAATTTTCACTAACCTGAGCAAATCAAAATAGATTCTTTTTTTCTTGCTAGAACTCAATTACATTAAAATACAATAGAGACACAGTAATGACACTTTTTAATATTTTTTTCATTTAAAGTCATTCAATAAGTATTTCGAGGAGTTTGTTTTTTCTAGTGCTCCCTCTCTGTTGTTTTTGTCGGACACAATTTTTGAAAAAACAAAAATAAAAACAAAAACAAAAAACGTATCTCTCTCGTTTCAAAGTTTAAGAAGTCTTAATTATGTTTTATCAATTATATATATATATATATATATAGTTTATTTTAATAAATATAATTAATATAATAAAAAGTATATACTTTAATTAAATGAATAAAATTTATTATACCTGAGAAAATTTGTGAGTACTAAAATATTAGTTAATTTGAAATGAAATGGATTATTTTAAATTTCATGTAAAATATAATGTTTAATTGCTTCATAGAGGAGACCATTAAACTTAATTCCAAATGTTATTTTTGAAAGTTTAAAGTCTATTTGAGACACTTATTGTTAATATATTTACACAAAAAATTAAATTTCACATGCATATAACCACAAAACATATGTTTAATCAAATTTATTCAAAGGAAAAAATTTATAAATAAAATAACTAATGGTTACATTTCAAAAAACTTATTTCAGAAGAGCCTCATGTTCGATATCAAAATAAAATACAGTGGATTAATTAAGTTTTTATCTTTTTAATTTTTTAATTTGATCATTTATTTTTAATTTTTTAGATGAAGTTTATATAAAACATTTATCTTCACCCTTTTGCAGTTTTTTTTTACTTCTATTTGCTCTTTCAAATATTATAGATTTGGGTGATAAACTTTTTATACAGTTTTGTAATAATTTTTATTATTAACATCTTATAAATATTATCAATATCTCTTTTTTTCTGAATTTTATGAGTGTTTTCCATCCTGTAATTTCAGCATAGTTCTGAAAATCTCGAGTATTTAACATCTAGATATTATAAAGTGTCAAGGTAATTCTGATCTATCCTTTAATAAAGTCATTAATTATATTTCATTACTAGTTTCTTATTTAGTCACTGAAAATAAAATACTATACGAGATAGAAATAATATTCAATTGTAAAAAAAAATATTACCCATACCTAATTCTCTCGAAATATTATAATTTTAAAAATTGCCCTAATATGTCGATGAAGTAATTAATAAAAATAAATAAATAGAAAGAAATATTGAATAATGAAAATGTTTTTTAAAAGACATATAATTAAAAAATAAATAATTGAATGAAAAATGAAAACATCAATTTTATTTTAATATGAAACATGATGAAAAAGGATGATATATACATAAACCAATCAAATTTTGTCCACGAGCAGTTCAAATCATGATGTATGACTCATACGATACTTCTACTGTTACAGTGATATACTATCAACCAAAATAAAGAGAATTTTGAAAAGATAGAAAAAGACACTGAAATAATACTCATGACATGTCTACAAAATTCGATTAAGTTGACAAGGAACCTACTCATATTTTACATGATTATGAATTTACTTTTTGTATATATATATATATAGAGAGAGAGTGAAGAATTCAAGTGTAAGTTTGAAGTCTCGTATTTAATAGAAATAATGAAAAAATTAAATAATTTATAAATAAGAAAGACCCATAATTTATTACTAAGGTTTTGGATTAAGAGGGTATCATATTTTTTTATATGGTTGACTCATAACTTATTTGTGAGAATCTCACTATTGTTTGCCACCATTAAAAATATCTAACAATAAGTATCGGAATCGATGATTTAACTTATAAGTGAAAAATTATGACTTAAGGTTTTAAGTTGAAAATTGTGAGAATCTTATTGATATTTGTTCCCTCAAAAATACCTAATATATATATATATATATATATATATATATATATATATATATATATATAAGGTTTTAAGTTGAAAATTGTGAGAATCTTATTGATATTTGTTCCCTCAAAAATACCTAATATATATATATATATATATATATATATATATATATATATATATATATATATATATAATTGTTTGAAGTCATAGAAACCTAAACTTTGCTGATGGAAAAAATAATAATAATAAGGCATGACAGTGATGACAGAAAGTATATGATACCTTTTGATCTTGATTTGCTAGAGTGCAAGTAGCAGAAACTACTATCACGGTATGAGTATGGGGGGGTTTCCAGCAGCAGAAAGTTTTGCAACATTGGTCCCCTTTCATATGGCAAAGTCAAAGATTGCTTATGGCAACAGTGCCTAACCACCGACTAGAAATTCAAAGTCATGCTTCCCTTTTTCCACTATCAACCTTTCTTTCTCTTTCACACCCCATCCATAGTACAAATCAGCTATCATCAAAGTCAAATCTTAAGCTTCAAATTCTACTAATCTAGGCAAAAGGGTCAAGGGGTGGTGTTGGATGGTTTGGATTCCACAGTTTGTGCATGGCCCAAAAGGGATAACAAGTCTACCACATGTGGCTAATTATCTCAATTATGAATAATTTCAAAGTGCTGTGTGATTAAGAACTTCACAATCTAAGCATGGCCCAGAAGGGTTAGCATAAGTCTACAACATGTGGATGATTAATCAGCTCAATTATTAATTATTAAGTGGAAGATTGGTATTAATGAATGAGAGCATGGAACTGTGTGTGGTGCTGTGGTGGTTCTCATGAGTCAGTGAGAGAGAGTGACATTCACATAATTTAAAACTCACTTCTTCTTCTTCGTCCTTCTCACACAAAAGTTTAGTCAATCTGAATTCTGAAGCTTCACAGTGGTGATGGTAAAATGCCAACCTACCCTCCAAGGGTAAACTATCCTACACGTACTTGTCAGCTACCTCAGGACCACGAACCAACCTAATCATGTCAATCATTTTTTTTTTTTCGTTTTCACATTTGTGTAAAAGATTTAAGCCTATGTAACAATAATAATGCGATAAAAAAATTCACAAAAACATTGGAAAATTATTCTATTAAAAAATAAATAAGATAAAAAATAATCATCACAAAACTTCAAAAAAAAATCATAATAATAACAAGAGAAAATTATATAGAAAATTTTACGATATACTATATAAAATTCTTTATCACTATTTTTGGTAAGAATTTAAAGTAAGACTATTTTTTCCATATCGTTTTATTGTAAATACATCAAGACTTTTTAAAACAAGAATTTAAATCAAACTGTAAAAGAAAAAAAAGTTAAATACAAATTTAAAATATTTTTTACTAAATGTGAAAATATCATAAATTTTAAACTTTTACATTAATATAATTCATTCCATTACTTATCTAATTGATATAATTTTTTTAAAATATATTATTTTTCATCAACCTAATAATATAGTGAAGATTAAATTTACGTTTGGTAAGAAATTGATGGATAAATATTCATTAAAAATAGTATAAATAAATGTGAATATAAGTTATTCATTATTTATTTATTGTCTCACTTGTATGTTGTAGAAAGTATCTTCCGTGGATATTTTACCCTTGTCCCAGAAAATCAAATAGATAGGTACGATAGAGATAAAGCCATAAAGATAATCTTTGATAACGATTATTAGGCCTTATAAAACCAATTCACATGTAATGAATTTTTAAAGAGTAAAAGGGCATAAAAAAAATGTTGATTTCGCTTAAACTGATTAGTAGACAGCATTTTTTTGTTTTCTAATTTTTTTTTATAATGAAATTGATATGTTTATTTTTCACACAATTTTAATTTTATATATATATGGGGAAAAAAATCTCTATTGAGTGATGAATTTGATTTTTGAACATCTCATAGTACTTTCTCTCGCTCTGAATTTAACTTTCGGAAAAGTCAGCTTTGAATTTTGTTTGTCTCTTGCGAAGGAGTTTACCCCCAATTACCTCATTTTCAGTTCTAGTTTCACTGTTCTTTTGCAGCCTCTAATTTCACTACTTCAACAGACACTATAACATCCTACAAGTACCTTCTCTGGCCTTGGAAAATTTTAAGTAAGAATGATTTTATTAAATAATTAATTAAGATAATAATTAAAGAGTTTTTAGATAAGTTATTTTAAATATTTTATATTGATATAAGTGTTATTGATGAAAATAAAGTGAGATTTTTTTACCATGATTAAAAAAAGCACATACATGAATTATGATATTATCGTCCTAACCTATATGTGATCTGTCTCATGTCTTCAAAAAAAATAGAATAAAGATATATAAAGGTCATAATCTCATATTCAACGTTAGTGTCTTCTTTTTCAATTTTTAATTTGATTTGTTTTGTCCTCTTTGTGGCAAAAAGTCATCAATAAGAATAAAGCAATACATGTTTTTGTTCTGCATGGAAAAATAAATTCCAACTGTCATGTTTTTTTTTAGTTTCACAGAGAGATAAAAGAAAATATCTGGTTACTTCAATCTTTTCACCTAAACTTCACATAAAATAAAATAATCAAATAAAGTAAACAGTAAAATGAGAAATCCACAAACTAATCTTAAAATGAAGGAGGATGTGGTGACACATCACTTCACGGAGGAAAAGGAGTGATAGCACTTGAGAAAAAAGAGATAAATATGTTTGCGGAAAAGGAAGAGAGGTGCCACTTATATATAAATAAACGAGATTAAAATATTTTGATAAGAATGAAAGACATGTTATCCCACGTTATAGATGGTTATAATATTTTACTAAAATTAATATTATATTGTATGTATTTATGATTATTTATGTATTGTAAATATATATATAATTTATATTAATTGAATATATATATATATATATATATATATATATATATATATATATATATATATATATATATATATATAGTAATGAAATAGAGCTAAATCAGATTATTTGTTAAAAAAAATACAACTATGGTTAATTTTTGTTATAGCATACTTAATACAAAAAGTTTATGATAAGTATGATCAAATTCTTTCAATAAGATATAGTGGCAGATCTTGATGATTGATTTTAAAGACTAAATAATATATTATTAATAAATAATAAATAAATATAAAAGGAAGAAAGAAGATGAAAGGGCGAAAGGATAAAATTATAGATATATACTTAAATATATTAAATCGTTTCTAAGTTTGAGAGGAACAAAATCTTAAATTATATGAGAGTTACAAAATTGAAGAGGGACTAAGAAAATAAAATTGTAAATATACAAGTAAATATATTAAATATTCATTAAGTTTGGGGAGTCAAAATCATAAATTATATGAGAGTTATAAAACTTTGGAGGGAGTCATGACTCGGTCAGCTCCTAAGAAGATCCATCAATGATAAGATATATAATAATAGGTATTGATAAATAATTATCATTATATCTCCATATATATATAATAACAAGTAAAAATTTATCTTTATATCATTTATATACCATAATTCCATCAATGAAACTGATTCTATACTCAATCTGGTAGGTCATATATAATCTTCGTTATATTGTTCACATGTAAAAGTAGTGTGAAAAAGTAAGCAATGAAGATGTGAATTGAAAGAAAACATAGGCACTACAAGAAAATCGCAGTATATCGATCGGATTTATAACCGTTGAAAAATAATCATTACTTGACGGATATAAAATATTTGAGGAATTTGATGTTACCAACGGATATATCCGTCGGTAAAATAATAATTAGTTACCTACATATATATCGTCGATAAATTAACAATTAATTACCGATGGATATATCCGCTCGGTAAATTCATATGTAAATTAACGATTATTTACCAATGAGATATATCCGTCAGTAAAATTATATAATATAATTTAATTATTCACCTAATTAAAAAATAAAATATATTTTATTTAATAATTCAATTTAATCATAATTAGATTAATTTATAATAATTTATTAAATTAAATAATTTTAAAAAATAAATATTTAATTATATATAAATATATAAAATATATATATATATATATAAATATAAAAATATAAAAATATAAAAATATAAAAATATAAAAATATATAAAAATATAAAAATATAAAAATATAAATATAAAAATATATAAATATATAAAAATATAAATATATAAATATATTTGTATATAAATATACTTTATTTGTAAATTATTATTAAAAAATTCTAGTAGCTTTGGAGTATCAGCCTCCAATTCTATAAATATTTGATCGTCGGTAATTTTAATATTTCTTTAGTTTTATATACAAAATTGTTGTTAAATATAATTTTTTGTTAACCGATATTAAATTGTGATGTAAATTCTTGTTTTGGTACTGACAATAATAATTATATATCGTGTGATATAATTAATTATGAATTTACAAAATCTTCAAACCTTTTCTTGTAGGATATAGTGTAATTTAATGATGTCACTTTCACATAAATTTCTTTAACCTTATAGAATATTGAGGATATTATATAATTCGTAAAAGAGAGTTTTTGGAAATTTTAATTTGTGAGGGAAGGAGTTTTTTTTTTTTCCAACAGTTTTTTTATTTTGGTATTTTTTTTTTAGAAAAATCCCACACAAGTACCGAAATTCCACATGCACAAAAATATACATGTTAAAAGAAAAACAATGAAAAAAAAAATAAGGTGACAAATATTCGTGACATGAAATAAGAGTTACAAAATTTACGGAGAAAAATAAAAAATTATACCAAATATTATTTTATGTTTCAAACTCAAATTTCATACCCAGTTAAAAGAAAAAAATAATAATACTTATTTAAGAAAAAAAAACTTGTGACGTCTCTTCTACCTAGGTGATATCAATACATTTTTTTTTATAAATATCTCTTTAATAATGTTAGGAAAAAATTAAGTTGGCAATCTCTTTTTATTATTGAACTATGTATCAAATACAGTGCTTTTTTATTGGAGAGATTTTTCCATAATTAATTCTGACATAACTCTTTAACCCTTTTATGCAATTACAGTTTGGTAATTAACTGCAAGACACAGCTTTGTCATTGTTAAGATCCCCTTGAAAGAGTTAGGTTTGTTCAAATTGATGAAATCGATCAAATAAAGGGGAATCTATTTAATATAATTGCAATTTAAATAATAATGAACTAAATAAATCTATCAATTTTCTAATCAATATATGTTAAATTTATTATTTTAATCACATATATTAAATTTTATTATTATTATTATTATTTATTTATGAGATTACAAAACTATATAAAATATCAAGTTGGTCTTTGAAATTGTACAAAGATTTTGACGTAGTTTTAAATTTTTTAAATTAAATAGAGAAAATTTCTAACAATAGTTTTTAATTTTTACATCTATTTATTTTATTTCATATATAGATCGCTATATGTTATTATTAAATATTATTTATTCTAGGTATATTATGATTAAAATACCATTTAATTTATTTAACTTATATACACGTAAGGATCAAATTATATTTGAAACCAAAGATGCATATGCTAAGATATTTTATTTATTAATTAATATATATTGACTAAAAATATATCTTTTTAAGAAAAAAAAATCATTCAACTTAAATGTATGTATTAAATGTTAAAAATGAAATTATATATTCTTGATGGCATATATTTATAAATTTTTCTACTGAAGGAATGTGGTTTTTAGTGTGTCATTGTTGTAAAGGGAAATGTTCTCATATCTAAATTCAGAATAATAATAAATACACTTTTTAAGCAATAATACAAAAGTAGTTTTAATGATATTTATAGTTAAAGATGATTGATGTACTCACTTGTAGCATGTGTTTGGATTCACTGATTTTTTTTGTTCACATAAATGAAAAAACGAAGATAACTATGTTTGATTGGCAGAGGAAATTTGCCATGACAGATTTGAGGAAGAGAGTGGATTAAGTGTCATGGTAGAATGACAATAATAAAAAAAATAAAAATACTTGGATCATGAGATAATGAAAACGACAATAAATATATAAAAAATATTACAACATATAAGAAAAATAATAAACAAAGACAAAACACAAATAAAAAATAAATGCAAAATTGTATAAAATAGTGTTGACATGACATGACATGAATGATAAAAGATGAGTAAAAAACATAAAAAATAAAAAACAAAGCGTTAAAAAAAAGAAAAATGATAAAGAGTTAAAATAAATTAAATAAGATCTACAATAATAATTTTAAATATAATTATATGTTGTTGGGATATATATATATATATATATATATATATATATATATATATATATATATATATATATATATATATATATATATCGGAGTATATAATATGATGGACATTTTATTTTTATATTTTATTAGTGTATTAAAATATTAAATATTAATAATATTTTAATTTTTATTAAATAAATTAAAATAATAATTTAATATTTTATTATGTTATGTTAAAATATATAAAAAATTTACTTTATTTAAATAATAAAGAATATATTTTAGATTTTTTTAATACATATTTATTTAAATTTGATATTCTATTCTATTAATTTTTTTTCCTATTTTCTTGTAACCACATTTTTTAATTCTTCGCCATTTTGCTTCATGGGAGTTGTAAAAGTCATGCTCCCTCCTCTAAAATCTTGTAATTATATGTGTATTTATTATATTTTTTCTCTCATCTCACAAATTTTTTATATTTATTTATTATTTAGTTGTTGAAGTTTTTTCTCTCAATGTATACTTCAAAAACTTTGATTTTCTTATTCTTTTTATATATATTTTTTAAATAATCTCAAATTTTCTTTAATAACTGTACGGTCAGGTTTCTAATGAAGATCATTGGTTAAACATCACCAAACAAACATAACTTTTGTAATGTCCCTTTTTATTAAGTAATTTTTAAATATAATCTCATTATTAGTTTAATTATATTTTAAGATGTAATTATTTTCTATTAAATCTTAAAAAAATAAGACATTAATAAATGTTTATATATTTATATGTATAAATAATTATATGAAATTTAAAAGTTTACCTTGCTTACGTGCAAGAAACAAACATTTTCTTTTAAAGGTGATTGATTTATTAATGATATTTGTCTTCAGCTTGATGCATTTTTCTATTTAAGTTGATATTTTTAGTTGTATTTTGTAAGAGATAAAATAAAAAAGTGAGAACAAATATCAGGTAAAATATATATTATCTCAAATAATATATAAAATAAACTTTTTAATTTCATTAACAGTTTATTTAAATTAATTTTTACAATGACTAGTAAGAAAAATTAAACTCAAAATTAATTATTAATATTTACTTATTTCAATCTCCAAAGTCTAACATTTAATTACAATGTAATTGAATCTTTATAAATAAAACATTATTCTTTAAAAAATAAAATAATAATTAAATAATATAAATATAAAATAATAAAATAGGACTAATGTCTAATTAGAAATAAAATAAATGATATAAATAAATAAATAAAGACCGTTACGTATTTAAAAATAAATAAATATAAGAGATTAATACATAATTAAAAATAAATAAATAAAAAATAAAATCAATACATAAATATAAATTAAATAAATATAAAATAAAACCAGTAAATAAATATAAATGTAAGATAAGATTAATGTTAAAAATAAATAAATAAATATAAAAGAATTATTACATAATAAAAGATTAAATAAATAAATTAATTAAAAACATGGAAAATTATATTAAATAGAATGAGTGATATAGTCTTCTCTTATCTTAGTTAATGAGAATAAATAGAAGTACTTAATTTTTTTTTCCTTTCTATTATATCTATAATCTCATTATTTTCAATTTTTTAATTTATTTTAATTCTATATTTAATGCATGTCCATTATTTCTTTAATTAATTATTTTTTTAAAATGGAGTTTAGCGGGAAGAGATAAACCATTCTTATATATTTTTTAATTAATTATTTTTATTTTTTGTTATAATATTTTTTTAATAAATAATTTTTACTTAATTTTTTTATAATTTTTCTATTAATAATAATATTTACGTAAGTTCATAAAACATATATTCTAAACATGTTCGACAATGATTTTAAAAAGATTTATCGTTAAAAAATTCAAATTAATTAGAAAAGATTCAATTTTTTAATAAAGAATTGTAACAAAGGCTAATGAGGGAAACCATCCCTCAAAAGCTAGCTCAAGAAATTAGATAACCTCCTACCTTATAAGTCTCTCCGATAAGAAGACATTTCCAACGTGAGACTTATTACAAACATTATCAACATCTTTTACTATTAAAATACAAGAAATTACACTTTCATATTCTAAATATGTTCGACTTTTACAATTTACTTTAATAATTATTTAATGTTTTAAAATCTTTTATCATCACATTTTTTTATTGTAAATGTTGGATATGTTAGGTAAACATTAAATGCATGTAGTTGAGAGGTAGTGGTTATAGAGGTAGTAATTGAGAGGTAGTTGTTGTATTGAATGTATGTAGTTGAAAGATAGTAGTTGTATTAAATGCATGTAGTTGAGAGGCCATATCCAAAGGCCTATAAATTGACCATGCATCACTCATTGCAAACACATTAAGTGATAATATACAGAGTGCTTTATTTAGATACTTGTTTGTCAACAAATTGGCATCAGAGCTTGAGAGCCTGAGTGTCTGAATGCGTTAGAGAGAGTGTTTGAGAGTTAGAGAGTTTGTTTGAGATGACCAACTTAGCTAACAGCATGCCCCTGCCAAGGTTATCGAAAGGTGTAAGCTATGATAACTGGAGCCTGCAAATGAAGGCTCTCCTTGGTTCCCAAGAAGTATGGGATGTGGTCGAAAATGGGCACCAAGAACCAAAGAATATTGAAGAGCAGACGATTTCTCAACTTGTTGCATTGAGAGCAATACGAGTAAAGGACAAAACAACTTTGTACGTACTGTACCGAGCTGTTGATGAGTCCGGCTTTGAGAAGATAGCAAATGCTAAATCTTCAAAAGAAGCGTGGGATATTCTGGAGAAGGCAAATAAAGGGGATAATCGCGTGAAGCAAGTCAGGCTTCAAACTCTTAGAGGCGAGCTTGAAAGCATGAGGATGAAAGAGGTCGAAGGGGTTGCCAAGTACATCTCTCGTGTTGAGACCATGGTGAATCAATTCGGAAGAAATGGAGAGACGCTGCCCACTTTCCGAGTGGTGGAGAAAATCTTAAGGTCGTTAACTGACGACTTTGAGAATATCGTTTGTACAATAGAAGAGTCCAAGAACTTGTCGGTGCTCTCGGTGGAAGAGCTTGTCGAGTCGCTTGAAGCGAATAAGCAGCGGAGAAGAAAGAAGAAAGAGGAGTCCCTTGATCAAGCACTCCAAGCAAAGGCAACCATAAAAGAGAAGAAGGTTCTTTATGCTCAGAACACTCAAGGCCGATGTGGTAGAGGCAGAGGAGGATATGAAAGAGGTAAGGAGCAAGTCAGTAAACAAAACTGGCGTGGCCGAGGACAAGGTAGAGGTCGTGACGGTAGAGGCCGAGGTGGTCAGTCAAGCAATTCCGGAGTTGAGTGCTTCAAATGTGGGAAGTACGGTCATTTTGCTAAGGACTGCTATTCAGGTATCAAATGTTATAATTGTGGGAAGGTTGGACATTTCGCTCTAAGAGGAAGAAGGAGACAAACCTCCTTTCTGAGGACACTGAGGAAGAAGGAGTATTGATGATGTCGAGAAGTTCGGATGTCGAGCTAAGTTCGAGCTGTTCTGACAACTCGATTTGGTATCTTGATACAGGAGTAAGTAACCACATGTGCGGGAACAAGAACCTTTTCAAGGAGCTCACTAAAGTTGAGGCCAGACACGTATCATTTGGAGATGCATCAAAGGTGGCGGTAAAAGGCAGAGGTACAATCTGGTACCTACAGAAGAATAGCCGAGTTGGAGAAATCAGAGACGTGTACTATGTACCCAATCTCAAAAGCAACATATTGACCATGGGCCAGCTGATGGAGAAAGGCTACTCGGTTCTGATGAAAGATCGAGTACTATACCTGAAGGACAAGTCGGATCGTTTGATTGCCCGAGTAGAAATGAAGAAGAACAGAATGTACAAGTTGGACTTGAAGATAGTCCAAGAGAGGTGCTTGAAACTTGACGTGAAGGATGAAGCAATGATGTGGCACTTTCGGTTTGGCCACTTGCATTTTGGCGGGCTGACCAAGTTGGTAAAGAAAGAGATGGTGCGAGGATTCCCGTCTATGAAATTTGAAAAGAAATTCTGTGAAGAGTGTGTGCTCGGGAAGCATCCGAGGACCTCATTTTCGAGGACGATCGAGTACTGTGCAAAGGAACAACTCAGATTGATTCACACAGATATTTGTGGACCGATTACCCCTGAGTCCTTCAGTGGGAAAAGGTATTTCATTTCTTTTATAGATGATTTTTCAAGAAAAATCTGGGTATATTTTTTGAAGGAGAAATCCGAGGTGTTTGAAGTGTTCAAGAGATTTAAAGCAATGGTTGAGAAAGAGACTGACATGCCTATCAAATCTGTTAGGTCTGATCGAGGAGGCGAGTTCATTTCATCCGAACTCATGAAGTATTGCGAGGAGCAAGGGATAAGGAGATTTCTGATAGCACCATACTCACCCCAACAAAACGGAGTTGCCGAGAGGAAGAATCGAACCATTCTTGACATGGTTCGAACAATGTTGAGAAGCAAACACGTGCCAAAGGAGTTCTGGGCAGAAGCAATGCAATGTGCCATCTATGTGCAAAATAGATGTCCACATGCTAAGCTGAACGAGAAGACACCGCAAGAAGTTTGGAGTGGAAGAAAACCGAGTGTGTCTCACCTTAAAGTGTTCGATAGCATAGCTTATGGTCATGTTCCAGCTCAACAGAGGACCAAGCTCGAAGATAGAAGTAAAAAGTACGTGTTTATTGGGTATGATGAAAAAACCAAGGCGTACAGGTTGTTTAACCCAATAACTAAGAAGGTCATCATGAGCTGAGATGTTCAAATTAATGAAGAAAGCGAGTGGAGTTGGAACAACCCAGAGAAGGAGTCCATAGGAAGTAGAAGCTCGGAAGTTGATACACCACATACTGTGAGAGATCATGAGACTTCTGATGAAGAAGATGAACCTCTACAGCCCAGAGCGCGAAGTTTATAAGATATATACAACTCCACTGACGAAGTGCATGTTGTATGTCTCTTGGCAGATTCAGAAGACTTAAGTTTTGAAGAGGTCGTGCAGGAGAAAAGGTGGAGAAAGGCAATGGACGAGGAGATCGAAGCAATAGAACGCAACAACACATAGGAGCTAACTGATTTGCCCAAAGGAGCACGACCTATCGGCGTAAAGTGGGTGTACAAGAAGAAGACAAATGCTGAAGGAGAAGTTGAGCGATATAAAGCTCGACTCGTAGTGAAGGGGTACAAGCAGAAAGAAGGAATAGACTATGACGAAGTATTCGCCCTAGTGACGAGAATGGAAACAATTAGGTTGCTGATTTCCTTAACAACTCAACACAGATGGACAATCTTGCAGATGGACAATCTTGCAGATGGACGTGAAGTCGACATTTCTGAATGGAATCTTGGAGGAGGAAGTATATGTTGAACAGCAACTCGGATACATGCGAAGAGGAGAAGAGAAGAAAGTGCTGAGATTGAAGAAGACACTTTATGGCTTGAAACAAGCTCCACGAGCATGGAATGAAAGAATTGACACTTACTTCAAAAGGAATGGATATGAGCAGTGTCCTTATGAACATGCTCTATACATAAAGAAAAAAGGAGAAGATGTGATGTTTGTTGCCCTATATGTTGATGACCTTATCTTCATGGGGAATAATGCCGAGCTGATTGAAGAGTTTAAAGAAGTGATGAAGAAGGAGTTTGAGATGACTGACTTGGGTCTTATGAAACATTTCCTTGGTTTAAAAGTTGTTCAAGGAAAGAATGACATCTTTATGTCGCAGGAAAGGTATGTTAAGGAGATCTTGAAGAAGTTTAAGATGACATGTTGCAACCCGGTTTCCACCCCTATGGAACCTGGTACAAAACTTTCTAAGTATGCAGATGGAGACCGAGTTGATGCAAGCAAATACCGAAGTCTAATTGGAAGTCTTAGGTATCTTACAAATACCAGACCAGATTTAATGCTAAGTGTTGAAATAACAAGTCGATATATGGAGGAGCCAAGGTATACTCATTGGAAGACACTAAAGAGAATTCTAAGGTATGTGAGAGGAACAATGTCACTTGGCCTAATATATATTAGGACGGATGATTATCGACTAGTAGGCTACTCAGATAGTGACTGGTGTGGAGATGTTGATGACCGGAAAAGCACGTCTGGATATGTATTTTTCATGGGAAACACAACATTAACCTGGCTTTCAAAAAAGCAGCCCATTGTAACGTTGTCAACTTGTGAAACCGAGTACGTTGCAGCATCCTGGAGTGTCTGTCATGCAGTTTGGCTTAGAAACCTTCTAAGCAAGCAAGAGTTGAAGCAAGAAAGAGGGACTGTGATTCGAGTTGATAACAAGTCGGCCATTGAATTGGCAAAGAATCCGGTCAATCATGAGAGAAGCAAATTCACTTCATCCGAGAACAAGTGAAAGAAGGAAATGTGGAGTTAGAGCACGTCGAAACCCGAACACAAGCTGCAGATATGTTCACGAAGCCACTGCCAACCACTCTGTTCGAGAACAACAAGAAGATGCTTGGAATGAAGGACAAGAAAAACATTTAAGTTTATGGGGGGATTTTGTTAGGTAAACATTAAATGCATGTAGTTGAGAGGTAGTGGTTATAGAGGTAGTAGTTGAGAGGTAGTTGTTGTATTGAATGTATGTAGTTGAAAGGTAGTAGTTGTATTAAATATATGTAGTTGAGAGGTCATATCCAAAGGTCTATAAATTGATCATGCATCACTCATTGCAAATACATTAAGTGATAATATACAGAGTATTTTATTTAGATACTTGTTTGTCAACAGGATAATGGTCGTAGATCAATAGGTAGAGAATTTTAAATTGAACACTTCTTAACTTTCAATTTAACACCTCTAAAATATAAGTCTCCATTTCAAGGGATAAAGTACATACATTTTAACTTTAATTATAAGAAACAACAAATTATTTTTTGTTGTGAAAATCACAATCAGAAACAGAAAAAAAAAAAATTCAAAATTGTTGTGTCGCGTTGGTCATGGATGAATGCATAAAAAAAAAAAAAAAAGTGGCACTGGTTGTCAACAGAATGGGGAATAGACGCTTCACTAGGTAGCAACCAATGATGACTCATACCAAAACAATATCATTAAAATATGTGATGCCACATTTATCATACAAATAATTTTGTGTTAAAATTAAAAGGTAAAGATGGTACAAAATAAATTATGAAAGAGAATCAAAATTCAATTCACGTATATAAAAATAAACAAAAATGAGAGTGAAAAAAAAGACAAGTAAAAACGACTCTGCAGCATCAAGTTAGTAGGGCCACTTATAACATGAAAAGGGGGTTTGAAATTATCATTTACATGACTGGAGGAAAAAGGTGTGAACCAATAAAAGAGGAACAAAATCCATAGGAATAATGTAAATTTGTTAGAGGATAAAAAAATATAATATCTCTTTAAAATTAAGGAAGAAACAAATGATATTTTTAAAAAAATATGAAAAATGCAAGTATTGGAATAACTTTAGTGTGCTGAGAGGGATAGAATAGAAAAAAAATAAACAGGAAAATTTAGTTTGTGGACACACAAAAAGTTACATTATTTTGAAAATGAAACAACAGCTAATGCATGGAAGCAGAAGAATGGAAGGATGGTAGGTGTAAGAGAGAGAAGTAACAAGAATAGCAATAGCAACAACAGAAGCAGAGCATGCATTAGCTGGCTGCACTGCATCTCATTCAGAAAGGAAGATCCAGTTACCACTGCCCATGTTTTCCGGCTCATATAATATATATATATATACTTACATTGTATTACAGTTCACCACCTACGTGAAGATTAGGTCTGGTTGACTCAGATTCAACGACTAAAGTGGGTCACGATAAACATATTTGAGGAGATAGATTTGATTGATACCTGATGGACTCGATGCATAAGTAAAATGAAGAATAAAATATTATTAAGATCAAAAGATGCCTCAAAAAAAAACTCTAAAAAAAAATTTAATTATATATATATATATATATATATATAAAATACTTACATTGCATTACATATCACCACGTTATAGTTGAATGAAAGAGGTAAATTAAAACTAAATTTGATTGTAACTTTTTTTTATTCAGTAATATGTTCTCATACTTATACAATTTAGTTTTTTAGTAAAATTAATCTATTTTAATACTTAATACAATATTTTATCCCATTTATTATTTTTTAGTTCTTCATTTGGTGGCATCTGGAAAAATTGTTTTTAGAGTTTTGTTTTAAAATAAAGATACATGAACATCCATTATTTTTAAATATTTCATCAATATCTTTTTTTTCTTTTTCTTTTATCATATTATAACAATTATAAAATTTATATATTTTTCTCTCTATAAATATGTGATTTTATTATTATAGGCATTTATATATTATTTTTCTTTATTTCATACATTAGTTGTAAACAAAAGCATTCGATTCTCGTATCTCTTGAAAGACAATAGAATTACTTTCTGCTGCAATCAATGGTCATATTCGCTATAATCATGCCACTGTTACTATTATGTTTGCAAGGATTAAAAGAGCCAATAAAAAAGTGAACATTGGAACATGAAGTAAATAATGAGAAATCAGATGGGTTAACAACAACAATTGAACCTTGAAGTAAGTGGTTTATTGTGTACACTTTTCACTTCATTAACTCAGAACATATATTATCACAGTGAATCCACATGACAAGAATCCATACAAAGTTTTGACAATGAAATAGAAGAAAAAAGGTGAGGAACCGCATTTGCATTAATCACGGAAATAAAGTGGAGAATAGCAAAAACACAAGGTGGTAGTGTCCTAAGAGGGTGGAAAAAGCTTATCAAGTCTGCATGGTAAAGAGTAGAACTCATCATTCTTAATATCTGCGCTGTACAAGCTGAACCTCTCCCACCACTGCAAACCGATGTCTTTACGTGCACAATCATCCTCACGAGACAGTGTGACATCCAAAACGAAAGCAACCAAGGCTGCAACTGTTGTGTGGGACATGAACATGACAGTCACAGCATCATTGAACTGCACCACATTCACTCAAATCCAATGAATGAATGATAAGAAAAAAAGTATACACCACATGACATGAATGAAATTTCAATGATGGGGTTTTGGTTAAAGAGATTTCACCCATATGGGAATTCCATGGTGCTGCTTCACGTGATAGTATTCTGTGAAATATTGTGGTATGGAGAGGCCTAGGAAGAATGAGAATCCCAACACAAATTTGGTTCTGAAATTGTTTTGGTTACAGAATTGGAGAAAACCAAGACCAGCAGAAGCTACATAGTATTCCAAAATATTAATTAACGCTGCTTAAAGTTCTTTATGCAAATGCAACCATAACACCACAAACAAAGAGTACTAATTTGAGAGAACTTACACACGTAGCCAAATAACACACAATATAATGCTGCTATAATTGGCATAGGTACTGAAGCAAAAAATGCTCCCAATTTGCCTAGTTAAGGAGAAAATAACAAGTATACAACATGAGTTGTCACCACTTAAGGAAGAGAATAACAAACTAACGGAAAATTTACCAATAAAAGAAGGTGAAAGTTGTATATACTGATATAAATTATTTTATTAGTACTCAATTTTGGATCTCAAACACTAGCATACCATATTTTTCTCCTAGACTCTGAAATTATGAATAGTATATATCATAATTTGTTGGTTACCATACCGAAAATAGAGAAGAAAATCATAAAACCAGATGATATTTGGACGACTCTTCGGCTTCCTGCTTTTGTCAACGCCAACAAACCAGCGTTATCCCTGAAATAGAAGTAAAGCATAATCTGAAAAATACAGGGGAAAAAGAGGCCCCATGTAAAATAACAAGTTAACAACCCTTACACTGATGCCGTAAATCCAGTTATAGAACCAAACACGCCACTGAGCAAAGCACTTACTCCCTAAAATCACAATAAGAATGACATAAACAAGTAAAATGGTGTATGTCACATCACAAGTTTCATGGTCAATGGAGAAAATTGCAAAATTTAGTGAATCCTACCACCCAACCAGATCCACGGCCTATCACAGAGGGTGGCACTGGCGTGGCACTTCCATATCTTGCCGCAGCATAACATGTACCAGTATACTGCATACAAGTGTACATGAAAAAAGTTAAGTGGTTAGGACAACATCAACATTTAAATCATCTTTCAGTTTTACATGGGTTTCATGAAGAAAAACTATTGAACAAGCGAATATTATTGCAAATTATGAATGAGAGAGACATTGAATTAAGGGGTAAAGTGCCTACCTCAAAAAAAGAAACGAATGAAGCAGCGATCATAGCTAAAGCCTCCCCAGCATGGAAAGTAGGAGCCCCCCATTGGAAGAAACCAGGAAAATACACCCTGCGTATAAATATTAAACTTTGACCACATCTGCTCCAACCCCTAAGGGCTACATACATGTAGAAGTAGAACTAAAAAAAAAGGCTAAAAAATGGTAGGGCTCATAAAGCTATGTTATATAAACGCTTCATATATTAAAAAATCATTAAGCATATTTTTAAAAGTGAATTTTCATACAAACAAAACGTGTGTTTCCAATCTCATGAATTGTTGTTCATGTAGCAGTATCCTCTCATTTTCAATCCTAACATTTCTACAATTTTCTTATAACAAACAATCATGTTCACCTTCAAAGAATGAAGCACAATATATCTTGCAAGCGTTTAACTCTGCCCTCAATCTTACCATGGAGCGGCAGTAACAAGGCCAGCACGATCTGTGCGGCAATTATTCTGTGTACTTTCTGACTTGTGGTTATACACAGTGCATGAAGTTAGAAACAGTGCAAATAACCATGCAATTGTAACAGTGAAGAGCACTGAATATCGGTCATACATAAGCTTCTTGATGCCAATATAATGATTAGCGTACTGCAGAAGCATAGAACACCATCAAACTCATACATCAAAAAGTTCAAGGATAAATATTAAATGGATTTAAATTTCTTAGGAATTCAAGAAATGCAACAAAACAGCAACTGTATCCATAATTAAAAATCTTGCCACCAAGTAAAATAAGTTTTTTGCTTTTCATCCATTGATTTTAAAGCATGTACACATTTTAAATCTTATTTTTTTATTGGTAAATTTGTATACAAATCTTTGGTTAATCCACCAAGATTAAGTCAGACAAATTAAACAGGTCAACAACTATTGCAAGAGTGAAAGACCAACTACTTGCCTGCGATATGAAAACAAAGATAACTAGTGTTGGAAGCCCAATTTCAACACATTTTGTTACCTGCAACAATGATTGGAAAATATAGAGGGAGGAAAAGAAATACAAAACTGTTGTCAACCCAACTTACATAAAGATAATGGAACATGAAAATCAAGATAACAAATACCATTGGGAAACCAAAACGATAGAGACTGAGTCCAGTGAAAGTTATATAAGGGACTACACTGAGTGGACTGAAGAACCTGAGTTGATTGAAGTAGTTAACAATATTATTGAAAAAGTTTATCAAAATTAAGATAAAATAGTTGTTAGAAGAAGATGATCAGACGATGAAACCAGCCAAGAAAATCACACTAACCTAACAGCATTCCTCCAAAAACCAAAAAATCCAACAGCCATCTGGAAACATGCAGTTATGATCAGGGAACCTTGAATAGCTCTCATTGTCTGAATAAACCTCTAGAAAAACCAAGCATATGGGCTAAGTCAGTAGATCACTAACAGAAAATGTAACATTATCTAACATACAGTAGAAGAAAAGATAAGGAGCCAAAATAGTCCCACTGACCTCATATGAATCTGTATATGAATTGTATCTTCTGGCTTGGATAATAGAAGTTATAGGTATTATGTAAGTGTATGAACCAACAACTACAATTGGAAGTCGAGTTCCAAACAAAGATTGAAGTAATGTGCTTATTCCAGAAACAAACAAAAGTGTCTGAAACACCCTTGCCTTCTCAGCCTACATTGAATCAAAGCATTCAGTTTCATTTCTAAAATTTGAAACCTCAAAATCAAACAAAAAAAAAAAAGAAAAAGGAAAAAAGTGCTTACAACTCCTCCACCCATTTGAGGAACAAGTATAGTTGGAATCAGAACGGTAACCCCAAGAGTCAGAAGGTAATGCTGAAACCCCAATAGCATTGCTTCACCTGCATCATGAAGCACCATTAACCATATATTCTCCATCACAAGTATTTCGATAAAATGTTTGTTACTCTCAATTTTTTGTAATGATATGTTAGCTTTTGTATTCTAAATTCCAACAAAATACCAATATTTTCAAATTCTTTATAATTCTTATCATTATATTATTAACAATATATTATTATTATATTGTAAGTAGAGAAGAGTGTACTAACGCCATGGGGGAGTACTCTTGATGCAATATTGAATTCCAGGCAATTGCTCATGCACAGCATGTGGCTTCACCTCCTCCACTTTCTTTGCAGCAGATGCATTTTTGTTAGACTCACCCCCTCCACCTCCACCTCCACCTTTGTTTTCAGTGACACCACTTGCATGGTTGCATGCAGCATTATCTTGAGCCATCTTTTACCAGTATCGATATCAGATGTAAAAACTTTTTTATCTTCTGAAGTGATTGATCAATTTTCTAATATCAAGAGTATTGTACGAGTTTCAATTAATTTCAATTCAATAACCAAATAATTCAAGATTAATTTGGTTTAATCAGTTACAAGAATTGGAATTATGCACCATTATTTTTGTTAATGGTATAAAACGGTCTAGAACAATAATACATGTATTAGGTACCATGAAATTGTTATAATTAAAATAATTATCACTTTCTATACCATGGGATCTAATTAAAATAATTTGAAATATTATCTCTCGTTATACTTTCTTTCTTTTTTTAGTTTAAAATTTAAGTTATACTCTCTTAGGTATCAAATATTCTTATTATAGGTTCTAATCCGTTTATAAGTCTTACATCACTTAAATCAATCAAGATAGTTTATTTATATTATTCTTTTAAACGAGTCAAAATTAAGATAATTTATATATATTATCTAGACAAAATTATAATAAACGAAAACTTAAATTAAATAATCTTTTAAACATAAGAATTAATATGATACTATCATAACAATGCGGTGCACCTCCTCTCTTAAATATTTCATAAAACGTTGTAATATTTTTAGGGAGTAGTTTGAAAACTTCCTGTGGGCAATTTAAGCATATTTATATTCTTGTAACTACTAAGGCATTTGAGAACTAATAATGTTTGATATAATTTTTTATTTTGTTTTAAAGACATTTTCAAATATTACTTTTAAAAACCTGTTTTGAATTCTTTTTAAAATTGATTAATAATTTTATTTTTAAAAATTATTTTAGATAAAAGAAAATGAAATATGCAACCATAAAATTAAAAAATAATTTTGATAAAAAATAAAATTATTTAATGTAATTATTAGAAGAAATCACTGATACTTGTTAACAAAAATAGAAAACCAAAGCAAAATTGTTGATATTCATTAATAAAAAAAAACATAATTTTATCAAATTTAATTTTAAAACTATTTTATCAAAAAAAATTATGAAAGAAGTTTTTTTAATTTTAAAAACTAAATTCTAAACCCTAATCCTACCTTCCCTTTATTTTTCTCGTATTAAAACATTGTAATGGACGCATAGGAATTAAACCAACCTAAATTGAGACTAAAGTATGTCAAGAAAGAATTTCATATTTTCTTGATCAAAATTATAATTAACTTATATAAGTGATCAATATTCTAACTAAAAATTAAACTTCTTTAATCATGTTATTATTGAGATGAAATCTCTAATATCTATTAATAAAAAGATGGATAATAATGATGAATGTGCCCTAGACTAATGAGAGATGATCATATAATTAAATAGATATTTACTTTAAAATAATATTCTAATGAACAATAAAATAATGAAAAATGTGATTAAAAATATTAAAAAGTATATATATATATATATATATATATATATATATATAATCTTATTTTTACTCGGCTTTATAGTATCGTTATTACTAAATATTATGTTAAAAATATAATAAAAAATAGTTGAATTGTTAAATGTTATTAAATATTTATTAATTTTTTATTTTACAATAATATTTTTCTTATATATATAAAGATATTTAAGTTTTTGAATTAAAAAGACCTTACACCTTGCAATTTATAGATTGACCTATTGTAGCGAAAAGTGCACTCCTAGGCCTGCACATAAAAGCCCAGAGGCCCAAAATCTATGTACCACCCTTGAATGATTGCCTCTTGCTTCCAGCAGCCGTAATTAAATCAAACCCCATTTTAATCTTATACTTACTTATCTTTATTTTTTAAATATATTTTAGATTAGTCTTTTCAGCTGCAACTCTTACTCTAAAATACGATTCCGAAAAAATCAATAAAAAAATATATTTTAGATTCACCTTTCTGAAAATAAATTCCATAATACTTAATCTAAAAAGTATTTTTAAATTAACTTTTTTGAAATACTTAATTTAAAATATATTTTTAAACTAACTTTTTTAAAAATATATTTCGAATCACACAATACAAAATATATTTTTAAATTAATTATTTAAAAATTTAATTTAAATAAAAAATCATATAATTTATATATCATATTAACTATTTTTTGTCTTTAATAGATAGAAAACATCTTCTTCTACAGGCCAATTCAAAATTTATCGTTGTCTTCTCATTTTTAACTTTCTCTCTTTATATATATTACCATTAGTTATAAATACATTATGGTGTATAGATTATGAATGTTGTTACAACTGTACATAAGTAAATTTCATATAACAACTAATATTTATCATGTAATATATAATATCATATTTATAATATGTAATAATTTATATTATCAAATTATATACAATAATAATATAAATTAAATGTTGTAATGTGTAACAAATGCATCGCGAAATGTTAGAGATTATTGTATTAGTTTCTAAAAGTAAGAAAATGTAAAAGAAGTTCTTTAAGTCTAATATTATTTATAAAAGTACAATTTAATTTATTTTTATTTTTTAGAAGTACAAATTTTTTGATCCATGACATCCATGTCTTGGGCATCCTTCATTTATACGAAACAAAGACTTCTAACTTAACAAATCTACTAACCAAATGAGAGAGTTTTACAGCACCAGATTATTAATACTAGACATTTCAGTTGATAGAAGAAGATAGCATGGGATTGGGCTCATTTGAAGAACCAACATGATATATGATTCCCAAATGATACCCTTTTACAATACAGTAAAAAGTAAAAGACCTTCAAATGATGAAGATGATGATACTAAAGAATAGCTAAAAACTGCAATCTCCATGGATGAGAAATGGGTTATACAAACTCTGCTCAAATACAAATATAAACCTACAAATGAATTAGATAGAGCAGCATTTCTAGGGTATTAGATAGAGCACAAAACTAGGTTTCAATTTCACCCTCAATTGCATCTTTCCTAACCCAAACCATCTTCTTCTCTGTTTCCTCCTGCCCAACCACAGAGCGTTGTCCCTTAACATAACCATGATTGGCTCCACCAGAATTCTTCTTCTCCCGATGAAAACTACTGAAATTATTATTACTTTTTCCAAATCTTCCTTTCTGTTTCCCATGCCCTGAGTTAATCGATTGAACCTTAATTCTCTCTTCAACAGGTGAAACTCTAACTCTCTCTTCAACTTCCATGGTTACCAAACTACCCTTCTTCTTTTCCTCCTCCTTCACCTCGCTCTCCATTGTGGCTTTCTCTGACGCTTCGTTCTCCAGTGCTGTTGTTCCAGAACCTTCCCCTCTCGCTCCAGAACCTTCTCCTCTCGTTTCTCTCTCCTCTGTCTTATTTCTCGGATTTCCTATCCTAATCTTCTTCTTGTACCCATTCTTTTTCTTATTCTTCGATTTACTGGCTTTTCCGTCCAGATCGACGGTTTTGTCTCCGTAACCGATTCTGGCCACCGATTGGTGATTGTCGGCTTCTATCGCTGCTGTCTTGCGGTGGTGAGTTTCAGAATCTTTTCCATTCTTGACTACATACTGTTTCTGAGGACTAGACTTAGAGGCGGATCCGTTACTCAGAGGGACTGCATGCAGGAGTGGTTGTTTTTTGTGGTTCTGCTGTGGAGATTGTTGATTTTGTTCCTGTGATTCTGATTGGTTGATTTGGTTTTGTTGCTTCAGCCATCGCTCTTGGAGTTGAGCCAGAGTAAGGTAGTTTGAAGGTAATGAATAGCGGTTTTTTCTCTCCTCCATGAACACACACCCTAACTTTGTCTTCTCTTTACTTTTGTTTCTCAGCGCTCTGGTCAAAGCGCTAGTAACTTCCAATGGAAACTGTGCAACTTCCAATGGGAACTGTGCTTATTAAGATACCTAAATAAAGGAAAAACCTATTCACACAAACAACCTAAATAACTGTATTTTATATTATAATAATAATATTTTTTTTTCATTAAATTTTTTAATAATTATTATATTAATAACAGTTAGTTGTGCAGGAGGTCGTGTCAACGTCTCATTCTCTAAATAAATAAACTATTACTCTTATACTTGCAATTATTTAATATTTTTTATTTTTTTAATAATTTTATTAAATAATAATTTAAAATAAATGAGGAGAGAATAATTTAAAAAAAAATTATTTAATAAAATAAAATAAACAAATTATTTAAATCATCTGACACTATAAATTTTTATTTTATATTTTTAAAAATAAGAAATCATTAATTTAAATTATTTTTATTAAAATTATCTTTATAAAAACTTTAATAGACATTGAAATAATTTAAATAATATTATATATATATATATATTTTACATAAGAGATAAAAAAATATTATAATATTTTAAATAATAACTTATTTTTATTTTAAATTATTAATAGTGTGACATTTTTTTCTTATTATTATTATTATTATTATTTTTTTTATAAGAATAACAGGTAAAAAAATATTACATATATGTAAAAATAATTTACATCAATATATATATATATATATATATATATATATATATATATATATATATATATATATAAGATATACAAAAGAAGAAGGAATTTTATTTTTGATTCCTTCTATTTTTTCTACAATTTTACAACTATCTACATTGTCGGTAGAAACAAACTGATTAAGGGGTTTTGGAAAAAAGTAGGAGACATACAAAAGGTAACCACTATTGGTCCATATAACATAATGAGATTTTTCATATCAGATACAAATGTTATTATTATACTGGGGTCCAAAAAAATTTGGTTTACTATTTTAATGATTTTCAAAATCTTCCAAAAATCTGCATTTATGAAGAAATGTAGAAAAATAAGAAATTTCGAGTATTCCTACCGCTTTTCTCAATTCGGGCCTAAGTCCATTCTCAAATTTTATACACTTCATTCTTTTATCAGGGTGATAAAAGAATGCGGAGTATTTTCCTAGCTTTTCAAACTTATAGACATATTCTCCTACTGTCATACTTCCTTGTTTTAATTGCATAAACTCTATTTCTTTCGCTCTTCTCACATCATTGGAAAAATATTTTTCTAAAAATTTTGTTCTAAACACTTCCCAAGTAATGATTATTCTTCCTCCTTCTAGTAATCTTCTGGTACTATCCCACCAATATTCAGCCTCGCCTATCAACATAAACACAACATAATTCACTTTTTTGTCATCAAGACAATTCATAACTTCAAATATTTTTTCCAATTCTTTAATCCATAATTCAACCTTTTCTGGTTTATAACCTCCAAAAAAATTGCGGAGGTTTGTTTCTCCTAAATTCAACTAAACCTTGTGATTCATTGGTTCCTTTAGGTCTTTGGTTCCTTAATAATGCAGCGGCCATGTCTCGGATAGCTTGTACCGCTTCTGTCAACTCGTTGTTCCTTCTATTATTTGTCATCTAGAATTATATAAGTTAGGATTCATAAGATGTTAGGATTCATAAGATATAAAGATATACTCATTTCACATGTCACACATGAAACGTTGCCCTGATACCATTTAATGTGACATTTTTTCTTCTTCTTCTTATTATTATTTGTGTAAGAGTAGCAGGTAAAAAAAATATTACATATATGTAAAAGTAATTTACATCACTATATATATATATATATATATATATATATATATATATATAAGATATAAAAAGAAGAAGGAATTTTATTTTTGATTCCTTCTATCAACATAATGAGATTTCCCATATCAGATACAAATGTTATTATTGATAATTTTTTCCCTCTAAAAGTAATTGAGTTGTCTATAACGTTCGTGTTCCAAGTAGTTCCTGGGAAGAAGGCAATGATGGTTGCAAAAAAGAGATTTGGAATATTTGGCGCCTCCATCTACTTAAGTTGGTGTTTAAATAAAACATGCACAAAAGATCACAATAGGGAGTGTGAACATTTATCATTTACAGTAATACAATCTTATTATATATAGATATATATGTTTCAACTTCCTCAGCACATTCTATTTTATGAAGATTTAATTTAAATTTGTAGTGACTAGTCAGGATAAATGAACCTAATTTTAATCACTCTCACAGTAATATTTACTCATTTAAATCTCCAAGGTCCAACCTCCATCTACAATATCATCAAATCTTCACAAATAGATATTATTATAATTAAATAATATAATTATAGATTAATAAATAGGATCGTTGCATTACTAGAGATAAAATAAAATAAACAAACAAGACCAGTATGTAACTGGAGATAATTAAAATAGGACCGAGTGCAAGACTGGAGATAAAATAAAATAAACAAACAGGGACCAGTACATAACTGGAGATAATTAAAATATGACCAGTGCAAGACTGAAGATAAAATAAAGTAAACAAACAAGATCAGTACATAACTGGAGATAATTAAAATAGGACCAGTGCAAGACTGGAGATAAAATAAAATAAACAAATAACTAAATAAATAGAATGAGGTTAGAGACACATCACTCCACAACTATAAGCAAAATAAAATAGATTTAATGATAATATTCCCCTCCCCTACCTTAAGAACTGCGGATGATACCAAAATTTCACTTTCTCCCTTTCCTTTTTTTTTTTTTTCATTTTCTCTTCCTCCATCTCTCTTTCTTTCTCTCTCTCCCTTTCTCTTTCTCTTTCTATTTCTCTCTCGTTCTTTCTCTTTCTCTTTCCTACTTCTTCCTTCTTCCTTCTTACGTATCTTCCCCTTGTCCGTTTTTATAGCAAATTTTCTCTTTCTTTTTATTTATTTAATTACGTAATCATAAATGTATTAATTATGATTTTAATAAGGTTTATCTTTTAAGATAAGATAATGTTTATCTTTTACATTAATTTGAGATGTTACAAATAATTTTTTTGAAATAAATTTTTTTGAAAAACAAAATTATGAAAATTGATCTATTCCTAGTTTATTTACTCATCTAATAATTTAATTATTAGAGAATGAATTTCTACTATAAAAGAATAGAATTCAAAATTCAAGAAGGCCTGATTTTTTGAATTATTATTTTGACGTTTTTTCATTTAATTTCATTCGGTATTTTTTTATTTATTAATCCTAAAAGTTTCTTACGTTTTATCTAAAGAAGTCCTTGTTTAAATTTAAAAATCAAATTTAAAAATCAACAGAAAACATGGACTAAAAAAAATACAAATTCTAAATAATATATTTAAAAGAAATTACTCAAATAAAATTTCATCAATTTATTTATCTAACTAAATATATTTATTATAAATATACAAAATTTTATCATGGAAAATAAAATTCTAGTTTTCTATCTCCTTATTCATTATTTTATTTTCTCTTTATTATTTTTTTTATCTCTTATAATTTATTTATTTTTTCTTCTCTCTTTTTTTTACTTTATCTTGTTTTTCTAATTAAAAAATACTGCATTAAAATTTTATAAAAAATATGTTAAATATATATATTTTTAAAATCAACAATGAAAATAATAAAATATTTATTTTAAATTATTTTATATAAAATATTTTTTTAAAATTACTAAATTTGACCAATCATAATAATCTAACCTAATTATAATTAAATTATTAAATAAAAAATAATTTATCATAAATATTTAATATTTTTAATTAAATAAGTAATTTATTTATTATGATAAAATAAATTTAAATTAATTATTTACTGTTATTATAATTTAAAATAATTATTTAATATATTTTGTTAGTTTTAATGTTAATTTTTTTAAACATAATTTAATATGTTTGTATTAATTTAAATATATTATTTGTAAGTAGAAGAATAAGTGTAAGAAGAGAGAAAAGAAAAAACATTCTATATAAGAGAAAAAAATGAAAAAAAAAAGTAAACAAGCAAAGAGAAAAATAAAAGGAGTGAAAAAAAATTATTATTTTTAATATTAGATAAATTTAGATGGATAAATAAATTAGAATAAATATTATTAAAATAAGTTTCTTTTAAAATATATTATTTATGATATTAATTTTTGATAAAATTATTAAAATAAATGGTTCAATTCAGACTGATTTTATGAATAAATAAAAAATTTAATGAATTAATCTAATATATATTTTAAAATGGATTTAAATTTTTAATTTAATTTAATCCTACGTTGACGTATTATACAAAAGTTGTCGTAATTAAAATTTAAAAAAAATATTAACACATATTTATACCAAAATCATTAATTAAAATAATATTTAAATAACGAAAACCATAATCAGACTGTGGAAGAAAAAGCTATCGTTATGCAAGTCTATTATTCTTGCATCGTCTTGAAATCCTAATTGTCATGGTTCAGCTGCATCACAAGGAGCAATAACGAGAATTAGTCATTCTGCATCACAAGGAGCAATAATGAGAAATAACCATTCTAATTTCATTTTTTATGGTTTATCTTTTAAGTGTTCCCCAACAAAAGAAAGACATGGCATTTTTAGGAACAACGTTTGTCATTAAAAAAAGATTGGAATGTTTCTTGCGCATAAGAGCAGGTTGTTAATCAAATCACATCGACACTTCAATGCAGAACTTTTCTAGTTTAATTCAGGTCTCTCTTGACGGATTCAGTCGAGGAACTCACTCAAAAGATTCACTTCGAATTTAAATTTTGAGTTTTAAAAAGACTTTTTTCTAAGACCGCTAGGAAAGAAGAGATTTTGCACTTATCATTAGTCAAACCAAGGGAAAGTACAGGACTCTTGATTTGAGGTTACTGCCGTATCATAACTATTTAGAATCTATGGTATCTAGATATATTTAAAATATATATATTTTTGAATTT